TGAACAAGGCATAAATCAAACAAGGGGTTGATCTACAGTCGAGTAGAGTTCGAAAGTTGTGGAAGACTAGATTACACAAGGCTTTTTCGGACTCAGTAGTTATCCAAACAATCAACACCACAAGAAAATCGATCCAAAACTTGCAATAATTCTCTATTTCGGTTGCTTCGATCACCATATTTAATAGTGTGTGATTTCTCTTTTCAGATATACTACTATGTTGCGGTGTATGTGACAGAGTCCACTGCGAGAGAATCTCATTCTCCTTTAGATAATCTAAAATTTACCTCTAAAATGTTCTTCACGTCGATCAAATCTTAATATGAGACTACCTTTACCTAATTATTTTCCTTTTCTAGCTTGAATTTCTCGAACGTTTCAAAACTGCGTACTTGAATTTCATAAAGTATACATAATCATTTATGAAATAGACATCAACAAATATGATGAACAAGAGAAACTTTATCTAGTAGTAATTGACATGAGTTCACATACTACTATTGTTCTTCTCAAGGTAAAATACAATGTTCTTTATGTCATTTCTTGTTTATTTAATGCAATAATTGTATAAATTATTTTCATATCACTTTTAATTTTGAACAATTAACATTCAAGGAGAGTGGAATAATTGGATTAAACTATATTACCCTTAGTTTTTGAAAAGAAAAATTGCATTTTTTGTTGAGCTAATGGAGTATTAGATGTTGGATAAATGGAAGGACCTTTTTCGCAATCAATAGTGAAAGTAAGGGTGAAATGCCAAAAAAGAAAGGTGGGGACATTTTGCACAAAAATATTGAAAGGTGGGGACGTTTCGTGTTAATTAACTTTTGTTGAGTTAACAAAACATTTGACGGCACGTGGATGAAATGACCTTTTTCGCACTGAAAGTTGAAAATGAGGGTGAGATCGTTAAATAATGAAATGTAGGGATATTTTGCACAAAAATATTGAAAAGTGAGGACGTTTTGTGCTGATTACCCAAGCACTATTCATTTCGTTTCAATGTGTTCACACTTGATTTCGCTGTTGGATAGGTTTGCTAAGGCCCAATATATACTATTCAATATTTTATTTTTATTTTTTACCATAAATACTATTTTTTATAAAGTAAAATTAGAAATGTGAAAAGATAACCAAAATCAAATAGGCTATTCATTTACGTTGCTTAAGTTACTCCACCAAATGCGCACTTAATTGAGGGCCACAAAACAAGCCTTAGCTGACTAAATTAACCCAAAAAATTCCTAAAATGATGTTATTTCCTATTGTAATCAAAATTATCTACCTAGCTTCTCTTGTTGAAATCGCCCACCAAGACACTTAATTGATCATTCATAGAACTCCCGCAGAAGCTTATTCCGTGCCAAATTTCATTGTGTTTCTGGTGCAATTTCGAAAAGATCAGATAATTCATTATGTGTATATTCAAATAAAAGAAATCATACACACAGAGAAATGGAAATTAATTTTGTAAAAATGTATTCTCCTATTTCGTTACCAAATACGTTATACAAATATATTTCTTGCAAATCATCTTCTATATTGTAATCAAATCTCAAAAGAACAATTTAACATATCTGGTGCGAAATATAAATTGAAAACTAGCAACTACTTCTCCAAAAAATATATCCTGAACTATATTTGTAGAGGATGAAGTTTCAAAATATAATCTGTGCCAAAGAACTAATGATTCATGTTTGATTTTGGAAGTCATTAAATGCAGAACGTGAATTTGGCTGAATTCAAATTGGATTAGTTACAACATGTTTTTCGGGTTATATTTTGGGAAGTTAGTGTATTTAAAAATAATTAATATTAAAATTACTATTTTTCAAAAACATTCCCATGACATAGTAAATTGGGAATTAGTTTTCTGTATTGAGGCATATATGAAATTTTCCCTTTTTATCTCCTTTTCATTGTATATTAGGTCAATACCTATTCTCTTTATCTACTCTTCCATTCATTTTCACATTCGAACAAAGAAACGTAGTAGTTGACTGTCCATATTTTTCATATTATATGTTCTACGAAAATTTTTGCATATTAACATGGTAATCTTTAATTTTATAATTCCATATCGCTTCCGTCTTTCATTTGATTTTATGTATTCAGAGGCGAATGGAGAGGGAGGTGGACTGGGCTATAGCCCAACCTTGTTCTAGCCCAAAAGCATATTAGCTTCTACAAGTGGAAAATTTAGTCAAAATTGATGATGAAATCAAAAGGAATAAGTGATTTAGTCTAACCCAAAAAATTAAGCCCCCAATTTAAGTCCCATTCTAACGAGATTGGACCAATTTTTTTTGCCGCCAATGTGGGCCCACATTGATTGATGGTGTAGGTAAGTTGGAGCAAGTAATTGTCTTCACTTAACTTTTGAAATACTAATGATAGGTCCATAATTTGGCATTTCCATCTTACCTTGAAGTACATTAGTGATGGAAAATAATGTGCAACTATAAGTGCATGGGTATTTCTGGGAATAGAATTATGAAAGTGTGGGTATAATGATTTTTGAATTTTAAGTGGCATTTGTGAAAAATCTCTCATCTGACAAATGTACTGTGCCATCGAAATTATTTAATGACCAAGATACTGTTTGAAAATGTGAATTCTCATTTTAAAGATATTCAAACGTATGCTAAGTTTAACCTAACTAACTTCATTCCCACCCAAGCCCACTGTTTAATTATTTAAATTTAATTTAAGACTCTACAAGAATTACATATTTATTTTATTCACGTTCATAATAACTTGTTATGAAATTAGGTATTTTATTTCTTATATATATATATATATATATATATATATATATATATATATATATATACATATATATATACATACATACATATGTATGTATGTATATATAAAACTGAGTTTCAATAGTTCACTTTTAATTGAATTAGTTTATTATATAACGAATAATTTTTATTGATTAAAGTAAATACAAATGACTTATTTTAACAATATAAGATGGGGGTGTAAACGGTCTGATTTTATCGATTTTTGACAGATTTTCAAATCAAACTGTTTAAAATGATTTGAGAAAAATCCAAACTTAAATCAAACTATTTTAAACGGTTTGAAAAAAACTCAAACTTAAATTTAACGGTTTGGTTCCATTTTAAACCGCTGGTTTTCCTGTATATTTTTTTGCCTGTCTACTTTTATGCCATTAATTCATTGAATTCATATATATTTATAACAATAAATCTAAAACAAACTAAATATATCTACTATAAATTTAAATACCAACTAAATCAAAGTGAAATCACAATAAACTAAAACATAATTTTTTGTTCGCCATTTTTAAGCTAATGATGTTACGATAACGTTATAATAAAAGTCTACTAAACTAAATATAAGGCTAAAAACATTAATAATGTCCAATAAGTTGTGATCATCATATCTACAAGAAAAAAAGGTTACTAATTAGATAGCGAAAATAACCACAATAATAAAGTAATTGTTTATAATATCTAAATATAACAATTATACAAACTTACGGTTGTATGTTGTTACGAACTCAATTTTTTGTATATACTCAAACATCAATTGTTGTCACACATGATTCATCATCTGCATAGTCAAACAAATACATTCATTACATTATTATAGTACTAGATACTAGATAAATAAAAGAATCTTCAAAATATATGGTAATAGAAAATATAAATCACTTGCCACAACTTTCATTGAATCATCCAATGTCTCCACTTCATCTAAATATTTGTGATTCTTTACAACAAATGATCACTAGAAAATTATGTAAATGTGTTAAATAGTTAATGTACTCAAAAAATATCAAAGTTTACTTTATGCATATAAAAAAAATTATTGATTTGAACATGTACTTTTCCTTTGTCTACAAATTGAACAAAAAATCACATAGTTACACATAACAATTCTTCAATTGCAATGGAACGTATTTTTGACTGCACAAAACTCGACATAAAAAATGAAACTAAAATCTCGATTGAGCCTAAAAATAGGGGAGCCCATTAAAGGTTGAAGATAAATATACCTTTTTCTTTGACGAATGATTAGACTTTTAATCAAATTCAGTAATTCACTTGGCGAAAAAGAGAGGCATCGTTTTGTGAATTGGGAAGAGTGAAGGACGAGAAGTAGAATTGAAAGAAACCACTTTTCTATTTCATGTTATTCAATGGGTGTAAGTACTATAGTCCAAATCCAAATCATTCTCTTTTTTATTTTGGAGCTCATATGAGTTTTGAAACTCTGGGCCCAAGACAAAAATTAAAATTTGACAATAATAATAATAATAATAATAATAATAATAATAATAATAATAATAACTAATTAATTACGATTATTGAGTAATAATAATATATACGTAATAGAAAATTAAAAATTGACAAAAGTACCCACAAATAATAAAAGTAACAAAACTATTGAATTTTACATATTTAATTTTCAAATGAATTTTCAAAAAAATTTATTTTTTTAACTTTTATTTTTATATATTTTTTTGCTCGGTCTGATTTGGTTTTAAATCGAAATTAAAATTCTCAAACCTAAATCAAACCATTTGGTTTTAACCGATTTGGTTTGGTTCAAAACCATTTCATTGACAGGTCCACGTGGCACTAAATCGACGATTTTTAAAGTACGATTTCGGTTTGATTTTTTGAATTGAAGATTTCTGCTTTCAGCCCTAATGTAAGATGACACATCTTTGATTAAGTTCAAAAGTAATTAAATTTTTTTAATGTATTTTTTTTATATTACTTAATTTATACTTATTTATATATTTATTGAAAAAAATTTAAATTTCAGCCATTGTCCTTCTGCCCGTCTGTATTTGATTTGATCAGTTTGATTTTGGTTGTTCGTTCGTGCGACTCGCTCGCTGCACTTTGGTTTTTCTCGTTCCGTAATCTGCCTCTCATTGGTTCTTGTCGATCTTCTGCCAGTGTTGTGCTGTGAAATCTACCGGCGAAATCTACCGGCTCTGTCGAACAGTAAGAATTTCGTATAGATCTGTGTGTTTTATTGGTTCGGTGTCATTTTGTGAGGTTTATTAAGTTTCTATTCATTTTACATGCTACTTCGAGGACAAACCCGACCACTCTACTTTCGTATGATAATTTTCAAATCTTCCTCAGTAATCGTTGGTTCTTGTGAATGTTCCAAAGTTCCGGCGTTCTGCTGTCAACTGTACCCTCTTTGTTTAAAGGTGAGAAATCCCTACAGATTTGTGTATGTTTCTGGATTTGGTGTCATTCTATGGGGTTTCATTGCGGCGGTGTGACCATTTTTTTGTTTAATTTTAATTTTAATTTTTTGACATAAAGTGTTTAAAATTTTAGAAGTCCTCTGTTTTTTTGGGGGGTTTAAGTGCATACGGAATGGATATTTTAGAATGTGAACTGAAGATGTGTAATTTTAGATGCATTGAAAATAATTAGTTGTATTTATTTATTTTATTCTCTGGGTTCATTCTGTGTGTTTACTCCGATTTACTGTACGTTCTTCGACAATCAAATGGTGAGAAATCACTAGAATTCTACGTGTTTTTTTTGCCTTTTTGGGTTTGGTGTGAATGTGTGATTCTCTCGAGTTTTGTTTTGGTTCTATGTGCATACTTTTTCGATTTTTTTGACGTAAAGGGTTTAAAATCTTAGAAGTTGTATGTTTTTTTAGGGGTTTAAGCTTACATGGAATGGAGATTTCAGATTTTAAACCGAAAATATGTTATTTGGAGATATCGAAAATAATTAGGTGTATTTTTTCCCTCCCCTTATGTTTATTTTGGGTGTTTTTTTGATTTCCTGATTTCTCCTTTTTAAAATTCCGATATCTGTCTTAAATATTTTGTTTCTGTTTATTGGGTGAATTGTCCTTTTCTTGTTTTCAATACATTGTGCTTTGATCTAGATTTACTAAGGAAATTGGGGGTGAATTTTGTAAATTAGTTTAATTGTTGTTTCAATATTTGGTCCATTCTTACAACTTCAATCTCATGCTCGTTCATTGATATTGTGCAAGGTCTGACTGATAGTCATCTCTTGGGATCTCTTTCTTTTTCATTTTCTGTTGGCAGCAGATATGATTACTTGTACTTCAGGGTTTAATATTCTGTTAGTGTAATTATATGTTGCGTTACGTTGGTGTTCTTCTGTTGCAGAGATATGTATAATTTTATCGAATGTAGCTTCTTTGTGTTTTCTTGTTCTTTGGGTTATCTACCCTTCTATTACCTTAAATATCGTGTATGTATTTTTATATCCATGGTTATCAAAAGAATTTTTATGTAATTTGTCTACTTGTTTGGATGCCAAGTGAAATTATTGAAAGATTGAATATTTATGGTGATTTAGCTTAAGAAAGGTCATTATTGCATTGAAAAATTATATTTTTATCCCTTCAATCCATGTTTGATTGATTGAGTTGAGAATAGAATTGAGTCTGTTATTGGCTTTTTCCTTGAGATGATTTACAGAATTCAGATGTTTTCTTTTATCTAAATTTCAATGTTTTTGAGTTAATAAGCTGTTGGGTTTTATAAAATTAGATGATTTATTATGTTTATCAGAAGATTAAATTTTTTTGCTCATCCTAACTTTTAAAGAAAGTCCAAATTTCAAAGGGAAAACCAAAAGTAAAAAATTCACCTATTTGTTCGAAATTCAAATCCTAATTCACCACCTTAATTTTCCTACCACCTGTACCCATCGCACCTGTGGTGCGGACGGAGAGGCAGCAGTGGTAGCAGCTGTTTATGTCCGATGGATTATTTCTCTTCTTTGGGTTTTTTCCCCCTTTTTTTTATTTGTACGTCTATTTGAACAATTTTTCTTTGGTGCCTAAGTTTTGGCAATCAATGAAACTGGATGGTGGGGTGGTTCTGACACATAAAGATACGTTCTGTAGGGTTATTTTGGTTATTTTTTCCCCTGAAATAATTTCTTGTTTGATTTTTGAATTTGAGACTGTGTTCTTTTAGATTTATTTTCCTTTTCAGATTGGAATTGGACTTTTTGGTTAGTCATTGTAATGATTTTTTCATTCATTTGATGATTTTTATTAGTTTGAATTATTAGTGGGTTTGCATTTATTGCTGAAAGAAAAGAATAATAGCTTGGTTTCTTAATTATAACTATTGCTTTTACCTCCTCCTTTACTGCTGAGCTGACTTGATAATCATACATAATTCTTAAGTATATTGTTTTGTATATTTGGGCATAAAATTATCAGTTTCTTTCTGGGGTTTTCTCTTTTTCTCTTTTGTTTTTTACTTATGTACGATGATGCTTTATTTTGATTAGTCCTCGTGCAAAGATTTATAGAGCAAGTTTGGCAAAGCTAGAAAAATTATTTATATAAGTTGAAAATAACTATTTCTTTTATTGGTTTAAGTTGAATACATGTAAATTACTTATTTTTTGAAATCGTAAATTACTTTTGACATTGTGATTACCAACCAAGAGATTCCAAGGTCACTGGAATTTAAGTCCATTGAATTTACTCAATACTATGTTAAGCCGATATATCATTTATAGGTGTATGGGTATCGAAATGGGTTTATTGCTTTTGTTCTTTTATCGAAATGGGTTTATTTACTCTGTACCTGTGACTGCTACCCAATATAATTTAAATCCATTGAAAATGTAGATTATTGGGAAATGGTTTTTATTTTTTTATTTTTTTTCCCGGTTTTGTTCTGTATATGTTTGTGATCTATTTGTCGGTTGCTTTACTGATCAATTATATGGTTAGATTGTGAAATTCTAGGAAATTTGGTTAGCATGTGAATGAAACTGTTAATACAACTGACTCGATCATTGAAGATTAGACATGGCAGAGGAAGAACTGAAGTGTATTGCTGAATATGTGGTATGCAAAGTTTTGCTTTTTATTTACTATGTGCCACATTGTATATTCTGATATGATATAGAAGATTAGTATAAAAATTTCATTTTTTTCTCTTCATATTCGAGCCCTTGCCAAGGGGAAGGAGAATCTAACCTATGTAGTGAGTCCAATAACCTGATTATTGATACTAGTCGATTCCAATACAATATTCCAAGTATGGTTTTAACAAATGTTGTGATTTTTCAGGAGGAGAAATCAAAAGGAAAGGTTGCTGATTTCAGGCCAAATATTCTTATGCTTGGACTTCCTCCTCCTGATTATGTTCTGCACACAGTTTCTAACGTTCACACTAATGATTTGGAGCAGACATTGCTAGTAAGTGCGGTGACATTCGTACATTGAAGCCATCTATCTTGTGTGTTGGTTGATGGATAATTTCTTATTGTCATCAATGGAATTATATCTATTGTACATTCATTGTGTTTGTATCAGAAATTTCTATCCATCAATTGTATCACTGCTTTTATTAGTTTGAAAACAATGAAATCCTATGAAATATCCATATACCCCTTCAACCACGAGATTTTAGCATCTGTCAATTTGATCATTTTATTTTTGGCATTACGAATTTTTTTATTCATTGTTATATTGATTGACTATGTGGTGTTGCATTCGGTTAGAATCGACATGTATGATTGCAAGTTTGCTTTAGCTCCATAAATATCATAGTTTGGTGAATTCTTACAAATTAAAAGGAGTTATACTTGTTGATTGGGATAACCTAAACAAGGTGGTTGTATTAAGTCTGTTCTCATCAGTAGAACTAATAGTTTTGCTATTAAGTCTCATGCTAATGAAGTACAGTTAAAAATAAAATGCACATTTTGTAGCTTTGAATCGTGTTCTGAATATGATCTTGGTTCAGTTTTTCTGTTGAGCTTGTAAAGTATGTTTATGGTTAACTATTCCATTTTTCACATCACATTTGTAAAAGGTTAAATAATTTCTATTTGACTTTCTTGCAGGCTCTACCATTCTAAGATGCTTTAAAAACCGTCTCATTTGAAATATTGGGTTTCTTTACCCGATAAGGTTAGTGCATCTTGAGAACAATTATATTGTATCACACGACAGCTTGAATTGAATTGCAAAAACTGAATGAAGATCTATCTGCCATATATTTTAATCTGTCACTCTTCAGTGGTTAATGTTTAAGGCACCATGGTTTTGCCTAGTTCAAATGTTTGTCTGTGGTGCAATGCACGTCCTTTTCACCATGGAAATTGGCAGGCCTGTGATTTTCTTGTACTTCTTTTGTTTAACCCATTTAATTTTTAGCCCTTGCTTTCCTACATCCAGTTAATTATGTCATCCATTGCAATTCTATTTTACTATTTTTATTTTTTGGGTGTGTGGATAGTTTGAGCTTTTTTAAAGGGGAAGGTGCATTCCGCAACGTCTTGCTTGTTTGTAAAACAGCAAAAGAACTTGGTGCATTTTCTTAAATATATGGTTATTGCATTGATTTTGATCTTTGTGATTCTAGGTTGGGTACACAAGTTTACACCCCCCTCACATGGAGGGGAGGGGGGGAACGAATATTTTATTACATGTGGGCTCCCCTCCATGTGAGGGGGGTGTAAGGCTATGTGTACACCTTAGCATTTTCCTTCTAGGTTTAGCTGGTAGGTCATCAACTCCTTGATAGCTATTATCTTCAGTCACTAATTTGAGTTTTGAGTTATTGATAGCTATAATCTTCGGTCAGTAATTTGAGTTTTGAATTTTTACTTTACATTATTTTTACAATCTAATAAGTTATATCACTTTATTAATTCTTAGACTTAAATGCATCATTGGTTCGACGAATGTCTTCTCCAAACAAGTTGCAAGAGTTCAAGAAATTTTCTTTTGAAGAATTAGAATGAGATGATTCTAATATAATTTTGTTGATTGTCTTTTCGAGCATATATTGTTATTAGTATTTGATGTGAGATGGAACATAATTAGATTTCTTATTGAACAACTAAACTTGTATATTTCTACAAGACAATATTGATGCATGTTTTGGAATTTATTATTACCGCGTGTTGATTATATTTTTAGTCTAAAAAATAATGCTATTGAATATTTACATTTGATGATTAAGGAATTAGGAATGCTATTTAATATGTATACATTACAATCAAAAAATGCTATTAAAAATTATACATTATAATTAATAAAAACTATAAATATTAAACTATTATGATGATAAAAGAATGTCGTTGAAGATGTAATCATGACGATTAAAGAATGTGATAAAAATCAAAATTATAGCAATTAAATGCTGTCAAATTAAGAAAGATGGTACAAAAAGAATGATATAAATATTAAAGCCATGATGATTATAGAAATGCTATGTAAAAGTTTTCTATAGCACTTTATAATAGCATTCAATTGAATTGGTTACATTTTATCATTTTATTCAATATGTCATGCATACATCACTTATTGGTTGTGATGTTATTTTTAAATAACAAAAGGTTAAGTATTCTTAAACACGTGTATTTCGATAACAGTTGTATTGATGTGAATAGCATCTGAAAAAAAAAAATCCCCTGTTTGAACCGCATTTTTTTTTCATTTTTTCCATTACTTTTTCTATAGTATTCATTTTTAATCACACATTATTTATTTAAATAATATTACACAAATAAAAATATTTTTCTTCTTTTTAATCATATATTTTTTTTTTATCAATTTACTATTTCATAATACATTACAAGAAATTTATGGGGCTCAAATAAGGTCAAAATAGGAGTATTATTGCTCGTTCAACAATTTTTGCTTGCACGCTTTGTGCATTTGTTCTTCATGATCGAGATCAAAATTATGGTTCCATATCAAAATTGCTCGACAGTGGCATATGTAATATGTGATAATCGATAGGTATGAAATGGACTTGTCGTATTTTTTTTTCTTGAATGCTTTGTGGTGAGTCAAGTCTAGATAAATATATAAAATTAAATTTCGACATGCTCATCATCATGGCTTCTTTCCGACTTGGGAATTTCTCTACATTCTTCTCATTATTAAATTACAACAATAATTAACTTTAATACCGCCAATAGATTTATTGTTAATTTAAAAATCATAAAGCTTTGACGTCTTAATTTGTTTTCTTCCATGGAAGGAGCCACCAAATTTTACCACTCAAACACTACACACCGGTGGACCCGTCAGGTCGTTGAAAAACATGGAATACAATGGGAAAATTGATACAAGGAATCAACGTTTCATTAGGACTGAAAATAGAAGGTTGGGTCCCCCAATATTTCCTATCTGTGACGTGACAATGGGGTCAATATTCTGTCGTGTGTTTATTGGCGTGTCTGCCAAATAAAACAATATTAAGAATACTTTATAAGATCGAACTGTTTGACTCCCATTAATTTTCATTTCATTACATTTTATTTTTCTCTCTCCGGTTTTCAACTATATAATATTTCATGAAATAATATTACACGTAAATCGAAAATTTTTCTTTCTTTTTCAACCATTTATTTTTCAAAAAAATATTATTCCATTTATTTTCATTTTCACAAAGTGGGGTCAAATGGGGGCTAATAAACTGAGTGATTGTTGCATTAAATGGAGTTCACTTTACAATAAGAATCATGTTATATGTACATTATTTTTACATCAATTTTTATATTTTACCACGCGACAACAAGCTATTGAATAGTTTAAAAACTAAACAATTTTATCACCAATCAAACGATGCCAACGATGTCATAAGTGATGTACACTTTTGATGTATAAATGACTTAATTCTTAAAATAAACCCTGAATGTACCTCCAATCTAATTGTGAATTTGTCCAAAAACAAAATAGATAATGTAATGTTCAATATATATTTTTTAATCTTTAAAGTACGCTGAAAAGAGCTCTACTGACTTCATAGAGGCAAAAATAGATATTATTTTTAACTCGATCCATATTCAAAGACTGTAAGATCTGCTCAAACAACAAATTTTTATTCTTAATTCTTTTACATATTTATTTTTCTATGCAGATTTAGATGTGATTTTGTTTTTATTTTATGAAAATTAAAGACAAATATACATCATTATTGGGTTGTCACTATATGTTAATGACACATTAATCAAAAGCCTTTCAACTTGCATGTCACTTACATAGCAATTTGTAGATTAATAGATTGGAGATGCTCTGAATAAATATTTGATAAATTAACCTTTAAATAATAAAAAGTTTAGTCCCAACTCGAACCCCGTTTATATAATTAACAAATTAGTTAAATGCCTAAAATTATAATTTCATTTAAAATCCTTTAGGACGCTACCAATAT